ACACATGTATGAGGAGCCGAAAAGCACACTTCCTACTTGCGTAGCGGGTGAAAATGGAGTACTTGAGTTGTGTGGTGATGGGTGATGTGGTTGTGTTGTGCAGGCACAAGTGGATGAGGGTGTGATGGTGTGGTGTAGCCGGCGGTTGTTTACTGCAAGTTTTTATGAATCCCAATTGGGTCATGCGATGGCTGAGTTTTCGTGGCAGTGGGGGCAGTTGAGGCAGATATGGCGAGTGTCTGTCTGTGCTCCAGGCCCTGGTTCGCCATTTTCTGAGTCATGGATTTGTGAGTGGATGACCAGGCCAATGTGTGAAAGGAATGTGCAATTGCACTGAGGACGGAAGCGGACCAAACCTACATCTCTCGAGGTTGTTGGTATGTTTTAAATGTGCAAACTGATCTGTTTGAAATTTGCGTACCGAATGATTGACTGACTCCGCAAACGGGGAAGAATATGTTCTTTCGAATTTGGCGTTATCAATTGCGAATAATTCCCTCAGGTTTAAGTTTATTTTCAGGAAATCCTATGCAACTTTAAAACCAGAATTTTGCTTTGGAACTTCTTTCACTTACGGCTACTTGTCTGAACACATTTCTGAGTTCACATACAGCGCATGGCACTGGGTGTTCCATAGCCATGTCGTTCTGAGCTCCGTCACTTACAGGCCGCTGTGCTTTGTACCACACCCCAGGTAGATATATCTATGGCCGCGATGACATCAAGTTACCGGTCATTTTCTGAATAAAGTATGGAAATTAATCTAACATCGGATGAACGCATTGCCGAATATTTCATAGACATGTTATACTGTTCTGACCTTGCAAACGGCAACCGTCGCATTTTCTCCGTAACGAATGATCTCTGAACCAAGTTAGATGACCAGAAAGCTACTCGATTTTGCTAAATATTTCGGGAACATCACAAACGAATGACAGAAATTCCTACTTCGAAATTATTGCACTTTCCTCCAATATCGTCACCGAGAAACCCTCCGAGGACATCACCTTACTCTTTACCTCGGTTTCTGCGCAGTCGCTTAGGAAGACTCTCGGGTCGAGTCTTGCCGATTTGGATGACAGCATTCCACTGTTTTTTCTGATATTTGTCTGCAACTTATCAGTATGTTTATGGCATATCTGCTGTGTAGTCATGTTCGTTTAACGGAGTGTAAGTGCAAGCCAAAACAGTGCAAACGGCCGCAATAATAAGAGAAAGGCATGTTTTACATTTTACGGTAGAATAATATAGGCATGTTTTGGTAACGTAAAAGAAACAGCCGTACGCGTTAAACATTGTCTTAGCCTTCCTGTGAAAAACGCACAGTGCGCAAAGTTTCGCCAATAAAGTGCAGTACTAAAACTTTCAAAAATAAGTAGGTTACTAGGAAAAGTTTTAACAGTAATCGAATGTATATCCGTTGCAGACTTTACTTGTGGACGCTTATTTAATTCAGCGGCGAAATATTCTGTTTGAGAAAGTCTTCGAGTCTGACCCAGACCGCGTTCTACATGAAAAAGAAAGCTCGAGCATTCATCACCTAAGTAAATTCTCTCATATGATATATTATCTTAAATGTGTACACATATACATTATACTGGGTGTCTTAATAAACAGTCGGTTGAAAACATTGAGAACCATGAAGTATTCAGCGATATATCAAGACAGATCTGAAACTCAGCTCAATTGAAAGCAGGCGGAAGAACAAATTAATTTTACAAAAGAATGGTTTCTTTATTGACAAAAAATTTCTTGTTTACGAGTACGTCTGTGTAGTCTAGTTATATGTGTTAGTCACCAGTTGGTTTGGCAGCATGCGGCTTTATGAAAACATGTGCTCCTATGCCGTCCCTATCAGTGACATCATGCCAAATCAGATTGACATTATTTTAACCCATCTCATTCAATTCGAAATCGTTAAGAATACTACGAACGCTCGAGAAACCACATTGGTATATATATCTAGATCATAGGCTATTGGTGAACCGCTACAACTGACATTGCGCTAGTTTATAACGGATATTAAAATAAAAACTTTATTCAAACATTTTAAAAAGCTATTTTCTCTTTATGACTTCATGCTTAATAAGATTTAAAAAGAGATCTACTAAATTACAACTTGTTGGACGTTTTGAGAATTTCGTGCTTTTCAAAGGAAATTGGCATTTCCACACAACGTGACATCTCCTTCAGTTTCTCTAGTCATTTAAATTGTTATTTGTGGGCTTAGATATTGGGTGCAGGAAATGGTGTCGGTTACGAATCATTAACGATAATTCCTAAATGTCGACACCTTCACGAAATAGGTCATTAACTGTATACATGTGACGGTGGGCGGGGTGGTATCGGGCGAGACATCAACCACAAAAGTGAGGGTCATACGCTTAATTAGCATTTTTATATCAATGAATATTTATAGATCTCAACTCAAAGAGCCCACGACGCCTTGTGAATCGGTTATGTGCGCGAAACAGCTGTCCGCGTCTAACCTGCTGCAATCCTAATGGGATTCTCGCGTAAAATGCGCACAGAAATGACTATTCCGGTCTTCTTTGACTTTGTCGGTACCGTTTCATTTCTACTATTAGACGTTGTGCGACTGCCTGAGAACGTACTTGAATTTGCCCTAAGGCACAACGAAACATGCATGTTCCGGAACCTAGTCGGTGAGAACCTATCCCGCATAATTAATATCAATGATCAAACCAACGGGGAAACGGGCTGAGGGCTCAAAGTCAGTATCAAATCCATAATTTAATATTCCGAGTTCGAATTCCACGTGACCCACATTTGGGTTGGATATGACTTGCCGTTTACGACTAATAAGTCAGAAATGACCATTTAAATCTCCCTTGGCTGTTAAGAACTATCCAATTTATATACAGTATATGGGCTGACTCATGAAATGCCAACCGAAATTTTGAAGTGCGTTATCGTTTTCAAAAGATTACTTAAGTATGGTTGTAAAAATAATCATCTCGCAGCATAATTATACAGTGATCCAGTTGCTGCAGGGTGTCTGCCTTCGAAATAACTTATTTTCGACTGCATGCAAGATAACTACTCCCCAAAAAATGACTAATTAGGTAATTTACATTTTTCTATTTGATTGTCGGTGCCCTTAAAAATGCAATTATATTTCAGGGAAAGCATGCATAAAAATATCCATTCTTCTACTCATTCGGTAGAACATCATGTCTTCTTCCAATCTCATACTCGAACGAATGGTATAATCAGGTGTCTATTTGTAAATTTTTTAATACCGTGGAATGGTCGTCCATAAAACGTCATGTATCTGCATTTACTAACGTGGCTTTTAAATTTAACAATTATATCCAAATCCACTGCCTAATTTTATGAACCCCATATGATCTCCTTTTAATACCGTAGACAAATGCATGGTTTTCTGTACACAGAAAATATACGGCTTGCAGGTTAGAAACCCCGAATGCAAGTGCAACAGCAAGTCGAGTTTAAAATTAGTTGGGAATTAGAAAACCTTTTCCAAAACTAAATTATTCACTTTTGCTGAGTATAAAATCGGAAGAAGACGTAGTTTTCTACCGAAAAAGTAAAAGAATAACTATGTTTACGCTTTCTCCTGGAAATAGAATTGCATTTATAAAGGCATCACCAATCAATTAGAAAGGTTTACGCTACGTAAAAAGCCATTTTTTTGCAGAATGATGTTCTTGCATGCAGTCGGAAATAAGTTTATTCTAAGGCCGATACCCTGCAGTAACTAAATCACTATATAATTATGCTGCGTGATGATTGGTTTTACAACCCAACCAAAGTAGTCTTTTCAAAACAAGAATGCACTGCGAAATGTCGATTGACATTTCCTGAGTTAGCCCACCGTCTGTACATGCTGCATAATCAGCTCAATAGGTACGCGACGGACCAGACGCAGAGGGCTGTTTCACACTGGAAACAATCACCAGTACGTCATATGCCATAAGAGGTGAGGTAAACGAACATGCGAATTAAACGTTTAATCCCCCTATGAGACTAAGTTCACTCGGTGATGGAATTGCGTTCGCTGCAAATGAAGGTTTTTCAAAAGTCTGTAGTTTGTACTAAAACGAAATTCGTTTTGCCGAGCCAAACTGACCGGTTTTCTTTGCCATGCGCCAAGGCACAAAACTGCAGTGTGACCAACAATCGCAGCATATGTACAGCAAACCAAACCAAATTGCTAACGCCCACCTCCAACCTTATGAAGAATTGACATAAAATCCCCTTTTCGGCCTAAATTTGGCAAACAGTTAGGACTTTGTTGACAGGAGTAATTGTAGCCATAGGACACGACATCCGGGATCCAAGCCGGTTTATTAATTTGCTTGAAATAAATACCAGATCAGTGAGTGTTGTGGTCCTTGGCGTGGAATTGCATGTATAGTTGCATGTTGTCGTTGTTCTCACTGCCTGTGCCCTCTCCCAACACTGTTCTCCTCAACTCTGCCTGACAGGGATTCCTAGTTTGGAAGGAGAATAGAGTGCATTAGATGGTGCGTAATTCCTCTGTTACTTCAAACTAACTAATTTCTTCACCGTCATCACTGTTTGTGTCTACTTTCGAGCAAAGAGTAGACGTCTTTAACAACGGCGGTTTAAATGCCATGTTAGAAACAGTGATTATCTGTGAAACACTTCCCGACAGGCACAATTTGTCAATTGGCTTGCTGCATGAATTCCCGGCTTGCTGCAAATTACCATTTCATAGGGCCCAAATTATTGTCAGTTTTCAGGCTTAAACCTGCAATTTAAGCCGAGGTCGAATACAATTAGGCAAGTATTTCCTTTAACTTAGGGGTCTTTGTTACATAAATCTGTGACAGACGTGCGCTTACTGAATCTCTTATCATCTAGAAAATCCGAAAAGGACATTTTTTATTTTAAATTTCCCCATGATGCCACAAATCAGAAAATAACCAACAGACTGTAAAGACTCCAAACCGCTGTAGTTTTATAAATTTCCCGTTCTGCTATGCCGATGGTTAGCAGGCCCCTGGAATTTTGCTTTCCAAATATATAAGGTTCCACACAAGCGTTTTCCTTAGATAGTCCATTGGCAAACTGACGTCTGCAATATTCTGTTCGGCCTCCGTTGTCAGAGTCAGAGTGTCGATTGTGCAACCGCGGTTTTTACTTCCAGGCTCCATTCGTCCGGTAATGTTCACCTTGATATCAGCGAAGTGTATAACCTTGATTATCCAAAAATTCCATTCCACATTTCTACTCTGGAAGAAAACAATGCAACATCAGCTGATAGCTATGAAGGGACTTCCTAGCTGAACATACAACTGACAAGGGCTTCTTGTTAGTTTTTCGTAAAGTAGATCAGCTTACGCGTTTTCTGTAGAAGTATGCTGGAATAGTTATGCCATTGCAATTGTATTCTTCTGCGTCAACGATGCGCTGCATACGACAGTGTTCTATCCACGTCATATCACCGAAAGTCATGGTTAATGACAATGGACCTGGGCGTTCTCTCACAGAACTCAACAAATTGTTCAAAGCTGCAAAGCTACGCTGAAGGAAATTCCCCACCACGTATAGATCTGGGATTCTGGGACGATTTTCTAGAAGAAGGTTTTGTTTAATAATGGGAGATGCAATTCCATATTTAATTCGACATGTGCAATTTGAAGAGTACTAAACAGGCCAGACGATTCTTATTAAATTTTTCATAATTCTCTAGTCTGTAATTTACCTCGTTGAGACATCATTGGTAAAACACACGCTGCGTACCTCAAATTCAAGCCGACATCTTTGGGTTTAGCAAGGCATGTCATGTGTAGGGTAACTCATCAAATAAAAGAAAATGTTTAGATCATGGCTTGTATGTTTTTATACAATGGATCCGTTTGTCTGGCGTAGTGGGTTCAATTATTTACACGAGCCGTTTCATTTGATCTCGCGCCATTTCGGAAAATAAGGCAGCCGGAGACACTTTACCGCGTGTGTTAATGTTAGCGTCGACTAAAGTGATTAGATTATATGACCTTCAACATACAAAATATTATGATGACAAAATACATAAACTGACATTTCTTACTTTTGGGTTAAGCTTATTAGAATGCAGATGGCCAAAATTAATCAAATACTTAAGGAGACGGTTAGTGTTTCCAAACACATTACTTCCAGAATATCTACATACGAATGGATTTCGGCCGTTTTCCTAATGAACCTAACGCCATTTCTCGACTGGTCATGAATTTAGTGTGGATTTCGAAAATACGCATTGACAGTGGTAGTCTAAAATAACGTGCATAGATTTCACCGCATCTAGTACCATACATAAACTAAGAAAGGCATATACTAAAACGTATCAAGCGCATCACATTGCATGTTACACTATCGTGTCTAAACCCGGTTAAGTGATCAAGCAGATACGAAATGATGGTCCCTTAGTTGTGTGCAGACATCCCCTAACCACTTGACAAACACAATGGGCGTACTGGTGCTGTACCATACAGCCAAACGAAAAATATTGTGGGACTTTACGGTATGCGGCGATGTCGGCGCCGATTAAAATAATTACTGTGTGTATTCTGACACTTTTGCTATTACTAAGGTAAATTATAAAAATTAATATAATTTTTCTTGAATTAAACGTATTTGTACTTAACAACTACATTCTGCTGTTACTTTCAAAATAGCTCATGAATACAGAATTCAACAGCTCACCTAAAAGGCTAAACATAATTTCTCAGCTAAACGTGACTACGCAGTGAATTTTGAAATATTTGCATCGATCGCCGAATGCGGTGGCAGTATAAAACGGCGTGCACTTACTAAACGACACTGAATACCGCATAAAACGTAAAACGCATACCAAAAATGCGCGCTTATAAAGCAAGTAGTATTCTGACTTACCCTGCATCGAACTGCAGGCGAAAGTGCCAGCAATGAAACAAATTAAAAGCGCCAGTTTAACAAATATTTCGCAGCCCATTCTCGACACTTCGTAGCGGTTTCCCATCATAACTGGTCTTCGAGCGATTTTTAGATCATAGCAGACTGTGCAACGAGTGGATGCATGGTTTTGTAAAGTAACCAATAAGAAACAAGAGATTAATCTAGTCTGCTAATGACTGTTACCCTATATCTCCACAAGCTTAGATTAATCGTACTGGTGCAGAAAATTAGGCAATCAATGAACTATTGTCAGAAGGCAAATTTCCCTACAGAACTCAGTCTCAAAAGCATTCAGAGTCCCTAAAAATATTGCAAAGACACGCAGTGGCCGCATCGCTCTACTGCTGTACGTCGACGTGCGCAGTGTCAGACCGGTCAGTAATTTTAAATAGCATGTCTTCAGAGTAGGCAGAATGTGCGGTGGTCTGATGTAAGGAAGGGCAAACAACACGTGTCAGTGTGTGGCACGTTTGGACAGGGGACGCTAGTTACGTCCGTGTTCGTTATGACTCACCTGGCGAGGCTTTTGCGTGCGCATTCATGTGAGTCTACAATCTCTTACCAGTCTCTTTATTGCAGTTCAATTTCTAAACTATTACCTGCTTAACACTAGCGGCAGTATTGTCCAAATTTCGCGACCAAATCTTCTGCCTGCAGGTCATGAACATCAACGCCTCTACCTTCTCGAAAACGACATCAACGTTGGGACCGGATAGTGGTAAGCCCGTCGACGAAGGTACCTATGATTGGATCGCACAAAATATCTTCAAAAATGAAATAGGTTTTGAGGCAATAGTTGACGAATTGCACAAGAGCCCAGCTTGCCTGAGTATATAGGTTTTTTCTGAATGTCGCCAACAGTTTCAATGACCAAACGCTGTGAAATCTTGGAGGAGAATAATATTGCATCGAATTATATCATGACGTATTCGTGCTGAGTAATAGTCCACTGAGTCATTCCAAGAAATAGACAGATGAGTGAACCGTCGTATAGGAACCAGATGAGAGACAGTCCAGTCATCGGAAGATCCTTTTGTGCGGACAACCTGCACGAAAGCACAATACGCCGAAGTGCGTCACATCCTCGTGCACTTTAAATAGTCCTCTGAAACGTGCCATGGTGGTATAGGTCGGTTTATTAGACATTCGCTCAGGGCAAGTCATAGCGCCATCATGGTGTTGTGTTAACTTGCAAGCCAGGTACGTGACCGGGTCACATCACACCTCATGTATGCTTGAAGGTTCTCAAACAGGGACTTGGCCTTCTGGAGGTATTTGGCTTCGTCAAATATAACTGCCATGCACCTTCTATCTGCAGGTAGAACCACGTTAATTTTGTCCGCTTTCGGCGTCCTAAGATCATTCCTCTGCGTTCGCGGAACGACCATTTGTAGTTTGTGTGTCGCAACCAGAGAGCTGACTTGTTGCCGAATGGGCTACTGTCTCGCGTCAGGCAATTTGGGGTGGTTTTGTAGTGGGCAGCCATCATGACCAGTCTGGTGTCATTGTTCAAGACCTCGTAGCCTCAAGGTCATTCACTCCTTGTTGTGAACCGTTCCAGACGCGCTGACCTAAGGTCACACGACCGACAGCTCGGATACACCTTGCGTCGGCACAGCCGCAGCAGCCCATGCGGCCACTTAAACGCACCGCTCCCTGCAAACACAACCGGTTTCTGTTCACAATAAACACCTAATTCTAGTGCTTTCCGTCTTCTCTTTCCAACATTGGATTTGCCCTGATTATGACAGCGATAATACTGCCCGCATTCTCTTGGCTGTGGCGCAGCAGTTTAAAACACACTTCATGGTAGCCAAAGGGTTAACTTGGTCGACACCTGTGGCTATGCATTCAGGTGCATTTTTAGCATTGGAATCTGTTCCAGTCTTAATTTTTTTCGAGAACCCATTTTTGACCAGATTCCCTTTGTCATCTTTTGCAACTGAACTTAGTTTTCAAAATACAATGCTTAGATCCATATTTTATTTGGACCCCAGTTCTCCGGCGTTCTTGCCTATCAATAGGAAGGGAATGCTGCGCAATGTCTGCCTTAAAATTCAGCAAAATTCAGCAATCAAAAGTGACAGTCTCGAAGGAGTATTTCGGTAAATTGCCTGCATTTTGCGGCGTCAGCTGCCTCGTCATGTCCATGTTCACTGGCGGCCGCCAGCAGAAGTTTTTTGGTAGCCCTCAGCCGTTAGTGCATCTAAAAGAAATTATACTTGCCCGGATATTGGAAAAACGCGAAGGAAGAAAGTGTCCCATTTTCATGCTGGCTTTAGCGCTTCGTGCAAGAAAATACAACTATTTGAAACGACAAGCGTATTTTCGGAATCAAATGAATAGGTAAGACGATCAGTGGAACCATGGCTCTATTTACACGGGCGTTTCGAATTCAGACAAGCGTCCATCGTGGGGGGTCGGATGCGTACGACAGTTCAGAGTATTTAAATGGATATTTGTTGGTACAAGTTAGGTAGCATCAAATCAACCCCTGTAGTGGGAAGAAGTTCCTCGAACGCCGAACGATGTAAGGTTAACTGTCCTTAGATAACGGAAGGCGTAGGAAACACGGATTATGGAATGGGCTGTTCATAAGGAAAAGGTATATCTCTGCTATATCAATGCTAGCGTCGTCTCTACCATAATTATGGACATCATGGAATGACTGTCTTGTCTGCCGCAGGGTATTAACTACCACCTTTAAATCCTATTTTTGCCGATTTTTGAATATGGAACACAGCATATAAAAATATATATAGGCAGAATGGCATTACCGACAAAAACAAGGGAGACTGGAATGGCCATTTCTGGCTTATTAACCGTCGTCAGCCAGCCATAGCCAAGCCCGAAGTGTGGAACACCCGAGCCTCGAACTCGCGACCTGTTGGTTTAGAAGTCAACGCCTCTACTCACCGGGCCACGAGCCCGTTGCCTTGTCGGTTTTCGATCGGGAATATACAGTGGTAGGGGACGCTCACCGATCGCTCATACGGAACTCACTCGTTCCGTTGGGTCTTATGGACTCTCTCTCGAGCCCAACCAGCAGCCGCACAGCGGCGCATGATAGATAGGCAGAATGGTATTACCGACAAAGACAACGGAGACTGGAATGGCCATTTCTGGCTTATTAGCCGTCGTCAGCCATACCCAAGCCCGAAGTGTGGAACACCCGAGCCTCGAACTCGCGACCTGTTTGTTGAGGAGTCCACGCCTCTACCCACCCTTGTCTTTGTCGGTAATGCCATTCTGCCTATATATCATGCGCCGCTGTGCGGCTGCTGGTTGGGCTCGGAAGAGAGCCCTTAAGGCACAACGGAACGAGTGAGTTCCGTATGAACGATCGGTGAGCGCCCCCTACCATTATATATATAAATATATAGAATATATAAACAGTGATGATTTTTGAATATAGACCTATATATATGTACGAATATAGAAATGAATCGAAATGAACATATATTTGCGGTCGGTATCATCCCTTCGTGACATCACATAGCGTTTCCGTAGCACGCATTCACCCGTGTGAGTCTACCACCTTAGATATTAAGGCCTTCTCACTTATTCCGATGAACCTAACGACGGAATGTCTATGATAAATATGACGTAACTATCTGTTAAACCCCTTTTCTCGGCTGATCAAATTCAGTTTTTCTGACGAACCTCACACACATATGCAACCTACGTCTCAATCGATTAAACTCTATCCAAAATTTAGAGTTGCTAAAATTCCACTAAATACTGCTATGGGAATTTTCGCAACTCTAAAACAATCCAAAGATCCCACGGTGTTGGGGACACTCAATGGATACATAAGTTTAAACATCAAGCTCGTGGAGGTGAAAGTAATGGCCAAGTTTATCGGGGAATGCATTGATAGAAACGAGTATCGAAACCACTACTGGAGAGCGCTGCGGCGTAACCGTACAGATCTTACCACAGAAACCCTGAAACGATACTCTGAGAATCAACTGAAAAGTATCCTCATAAAGATAGAAGAACTGAAGCGTTACGCGCGTCAACGCACAGCCGTCTTAGACAGCATGATAGATGACGAAAGACAAGAGTTCGACAGTTACACTCAATCCATAGGAAGAAAATGCGGAGATGCAAAAAGTTATGCGCTTACTAGAAGTGTACATGAAAGGAAACTACAATCACGGTTTCTGAAAGATTTAAGTCGGTACGTACGCAATCACTCTTTTATGAAACTTGATATAACATCACTTGAAGCACTATCCCTTGGTCCTAAGTTTTGCATAGCTCGTTCAAAGTTAATCAGTTAGAATTGGAAACTCAGTTCGAGAACCTATCGATGCAAGCCTATGATCTAGTGCCCAATTCCACGGACAGTATCCAACACAGTATCAACATTGGTGAATTGCAGTTAACAGTACCTGCACAAGGGGCCAAAATTCGGAGATTGCTGACAAAATCACATGTGGAAAAATTAAAAGAACATCGGGAATAAAAAGATATCTCGGCAACTAGACCAGACAAAGGACCAGGCGCCGTTATAATGAACAGATCGAACTGCGTAACGAAGATACAGTCCATATTATCAGACCAGAAGAAAATGAGGAAGGTAGACAAAGAAAAGGAATGCACGAAAGAAGTAGAGACAAAACTGACTGACTGCATAAGAGGGCTCCACACATGGGGTCAAATAAGCGAATTCAGCCATTATATCAAATGTCACTATTTCGCTTGGGAGTGAGTTCCACGGTCGAGCAACACGCTGGCTGAAGGAAGACTTCCGATGGTCTAGGCGTGTATGCTCCCGCTTGACTTTGTACGGATGACCGCGCAGGTGACTCATGGTCGTGAATCCAAAGAAGTCTTCAATTTTCAGCGAACATTCATGCCCGTGTATAATGCGGAATGTCCATAACAGGTCACGCCTCATTCGTCTATAGGATAGGGGGAACAAATTTAACTGGATCAGTCTTTCTGGGTATGACAGATTCCTGAGACCGACCACCAGTTTTGTGGCCCGTCGTTTCACCTGCACTATGGCATCTCTGTCTTTCTTCGTCC